GAAGGAATGTCCATTTTCCTCTATGCCTAACAATGCCTCTTTCGGAATAACTTTGGCTATTTTGTTGAGCAAGGCTGTTATCATTTTTCAATGAACTGTCTGCTGTTCGGTGAACTAAATGAACTATTTGATGTCTTTCGCGACGAGTTTCTATTTGAATTAGTTTTGAGGTTGAAACAATCGGTGATGCATATATGATCGTTTCCGGATTGCCGAAAGAAAACGGTAACGCTCACGTCGAAAATATCGCAGATGTGGCGCTCAAAATGAGGGCGGTCAGCTTTGATCATAAAATTATTGTCAGGAAAATGATCCCAAAACTGATTTAAAATAATTATTGTTAGTTTCCTCTAAAAATTTAGTTTGTGTGCAAGTTCAAATTGGCTCATCGACCAAATGAACAGCTGATGGTTCGAATTGGATTCCACAGTGGAGCTGTAGCAGCCGGCGTCGTCGGACAAGCAGCGCCACGTTACTGCCTTTTTGGCGACACAGTAAATACCGCATCCAGGATGGAAAGTACAGGCGAACCGAATAAGATACAAGTAATTCACTACATAACTGCTTTTTTAAGTTTTTACATCTGTGCAGTGCAGAAAACATATGTTGACGAGGGGTGGTCTGTGCGTGTGCGTGTGTGTGTGTGTGTTCGTCTGTACCGATTTTCCATGTCGAGACCTACAAAAGCTACAGGGTTGAAACTTTGAGAACTTAATCTACATGCATGTACGGGCCTCAATCTCTGAAATGGGCGCTCTTACCCGCATGATACCCACGTGCGGGCCCGCCAAAGTTTTTTACGGGTAAGTTGCTAACTCTTAAACCAGAAAAGCTAGAAAGCTGAAATTTTAAGGGAATATTCCCTGTCCACGTAGGTCTTAGTGAGTTCCAGCCTAGCTCACAGGTACTTGGTTCCCATGTACGGGCCCGTGAAAGTTTTTCGCGGGTGAGTTACTAACTCGGGAATCTGAAAAGCTAGAAGACTGGAATTTTAGGGTGTATTTCCTGAGAATCCTGGCGGTCAATCTCAATCCTTTAAGCTTGAAAAACCATACCGTTGGCAATAAAAATCTGCGGGGAGCTATGTAAAAAACGCACCCTCGCACCGGCAGTCGGTGCGCTGGCCATTTATGTATTTGATCAGTTTCGGCAGACTAAGATTGGTAAAAAAAATTTTTTTTCACTGACAGTGTGGTAATGTGATAATGCAGTGTATTATGATGCCGGAGGAGACAGATGAACACATTTTATTAAATGAACCTAATGGCCGCAGTTAAATACAAATATAGCTAGCAGCGCATGGTGATGCAGATTCGGTGTCGAGGAGCGCCGGAGTGTTGAAGATCGAGGGGTGATCATCCAGAAGACCATAAAGTACCTTGTCAACTTGTTGAAGTATCAGTAGAGCTGAAACGAAGAGATGACCTTGAAGTATATGCGGAAGAACCCGAATGTAAAGAAGAGACCCCTTGCTTTATCCTTTGTGTACTCTTCTGCTGCCCTCTTCGATGAAATTCTTTACGACGTGGCAGCTTCGCTGCTGGTGGGTACTCATTGTTAGTGGACCAAAGGGTGCCGGACACCTGTGCTTTCTGCTTCGATTTTTCTTCGATGTCACTAGGGTACGCCGCAGGTCAAAATCAACATTGGGCAATAGTGCGCTTCTCGACGTCTCGACGACTTGCAGCTTGCGCGCCTATTCAGAGAAGCTATTTGAGTCTAAAGCATTAATTCCAAGGGCTTCTTGCGTCGCTGAAGCGCTGATCCAGTTTACTGCTTGAGCCATTTAAGTGCCAACCTTAGTATTCTATTCGTCCAGTCACTTTCTTACCTGATTTTTATGAATCGGCTTCAGTTAAACGTGTTATCGGTCCGTCGAGGGGTACCAAACGACGCAACTCAACTTCGGCAAGCGATTAAAAAAGAGTTATTGTATACGTTCTCTCTCCCCCACTTTTTTACATCCCTTCGATTCTGCTCCCTTCATATCTCAGCTTTCTTAATAACGGACGTCGCACGATTATTAGCTTGGCCCATTTGGGTCGAAGAGTTCCATCATTACAATTTCATTCCAGCTACAACTGCATTGTTTTATGTTTGTTTCCTCTCCTCCCCTCCCTTCTTATTTCACCACAGTCGGCACTATGAATCATTAAGGCCCCAACAGTTCCACATAAAATTACTAAAAATGCTTTTCGTATACTCATTTTTAGCGATCATTCCAATCTTATGGCCTCAGAGTACTACTCTTGTTCATTAACTACCTATTTAGCATATTACTAAATTTAAATTGGACGGGAGGCTTTTTTTCACGGGAGGCTGTTTTTTATGATAAAGAATAACATCCAATCAGCGCTATATCGATTTCATCACTGTATGCTTTGCAGTTTTATGCAGAATTACTAAGACGTTTTCTAATATTTCAGATTAGCGACCAATCCTACAACCTTCTTCACAGCTACTATCCAAGATTTCAAATTATCGAACGCGGAAAAATAAGTGTTAAGGTATGTTAATGAGAAAAATGATAGAATTTTTGTCACTTAATTCTCGTATACCCTTCAAATTTTGAGTGAAAAAAATAACAGTCGCAGTAATGATTGGTGCCGCGCATCAGATGTGTTGGTACGGTTACGCTTTTATGCGTTTTTGCATATGCGCAGATTGCAAAAATGCATATTGGCAAGAGGCTGTCGTGTTTGTGTCTGCGTGTTTGCACTTTTGTTACCCAATTTTTTCGACTACGCAGCGTATCTGACTGTCGTGAGAGAAGGATGCCGACAGTTTTGGTGCCTGAAATTTATTGTGTTTTTACGCGAAAGATGGGAGCACATAACAGATAGACTTGAAATCTTTTGGTTGCACACGGACAAAGAGCTTCGAGAAATTCTAGTCTCTTATCTTGTATGGTTCTTAAATGCGTTTTCCCATCAGAAATTTTTATGCGTTTTTGCTGCGCAGCGCTATAGCGCTGCTCCAGACAGCAAAAACGCATATTGTCGAGAAGTCGTTTGTGTGTGTATGTGTGTTCAGAAGCGAGTGAACTTCGTCACCCACTTTCATCTCAGCAACCAGAAAAAATGGCCAACGCACGGGCTGCCCGTGCGAAGATGCGTTTTTTGCAGAGTTCCCCGCAGTT